AGGAACAAAGGAGAGATAAAAGACCCATTTTCTAGTGTAAAGGAAGTCAGTATATTAGAAGCGTTTATGGATAACCAAAAAAAAACCCCAAAAAACATGGAAAAAATGAATTGAATTATTATTTTATTGGCCACTATATGACAGGAATATAGTTCTATGGACCTAATGCCATATAGTGAATCAGAACTTTTGTGTCCTAATCTACTGTTTTAGTCCAATGTGGCCTTAGAAAAAGGTTTCATCTTGTATTCCCAGCACCTACCATATTATGTTGCAAATAGCAGTACTTAAAAAATAGTTGCTAAAGTACTTCACATCTTTGTGGCTATTTCTTCATCTGAAAAGTGAAACCCCTTGTTATTGTGCCAATTAATTAATTAATTAACTATATTTATGGAGATAAAATTTGACCTATTCATAAAGCTGTCACAGTTCTTGAAGTAAGTATAACACAATAATATCCATTTTTTTGTTTTGTTTTTCACTCAAGACCTGGGGTTTCATTGGTATTAGTTTCCCAGAGGGAAACTTCCTCTACTAATACAAATCAGCAACTGTACTGTTCCCATAATATTTGACTGAAAAATAAAAGTTCTTTATTCTTGGAAGATATCAGTATTCATAGTTAATTATGAACCTCACCAACTCTATTTCTTCTAATTCCACATAACAAAATGGATAGCATTCCAGCCTCTCATTCAGTAGCTTTTTTTTTTTCACAAGAGACTTCAGCTCTTGGCCCTCAAAAAAAAACTGCAATCACTATTTCAAATAACACTCCCTGCTCTCCTGATAGATTGTAACCTTCTTGAGAACAGCTACTGCTTCACAGCATCTAGCACAGTGCTTGGCATATGGTAGGCACTTAATAAATGACTGTTAGTTGACTGATTACTAAGCCCAATCCCATTCTCTGTTGCATTATTCCCTTCCTCTAAGTATCCTCCTCACTTCTCCCTCTTTATCTGAATTCGAGTTCATTTGCAAAGTCTAGTTACATTCTCCCACATGGTCATGACTCATGGGACACCCTCCCTTCCTTTGAATTCCTATCACACTTTATTGTGTCATTCATGTGGCATCTAATATTTTTACTTCTCTTTTAGTGTCGTGTCTTCAATTAGACTGTAAGCGTTGGGAGTTTATATTTATATTTACTTCATATTTATTTATATGCTTCATAGGGAATACATAGCAACTAGTAGGTAACTATACAAACATAACTAATATGATTTGATTAAAATGAAAAGCATGTGAAGGCATCAAATGTTAGACCTACTGTTTTGGCACTACAAAGCCTGCTTTTCAATAAAACTAAATTACAGGAATCACTAAGGGGACTTCCATGTCATTATCCTTTTCCCAACCATGCCATCTCCCCTATATCCCCAATCATAAACTTTTATTCACCAAGAAACAAAATGACAGCCTATGAAAGCCCCAATTCGGGGGGGGGGTGTAAGGGGGAAATATCCTTAGCTGAATGCTCTCAAAGGACTTTAAGCTGTGAAGTTTCTACAACTGTTTCCCCCATCAGTCAAAAACAAACCAAAGCAAAGCAAAACAAACAAGCAACCCAAAAACCCTGATGCTGATGCTTTCCAAGGTGAGGCTTAACACAGCTTAAGATTTACTTGTTTCCATGCACAGTATTTTCTTTCCTACGGCTTTCCTCATCTCTATATTTTTCTTTTATTTAGAAAAAGATGTTATAATTATTGCTTCTAGACTGACTTTGGGTATCCTGAAAATTTCATTCTTTTGAGTTAGAGGATTTCATTCATTCATTAATATCATATTTCCCAAGTACTTCCTATCTATCTGTGTGTGTGTGTGTGTGTGTGTGTGTGTGTGTGTGTATGTGTGTATCCATACATTCTGAACACAGTGGAGTCAACTGATGGAATCAGTGTTTCATGGCCTGATGATAATGACAGACTTATCTAAGAAAAAGATTAGGACAAAAAAGTACCCTGGGGGAAGAAGATCAGGATAAAGTTTAGAAAGGGCAGATGGATAGCAGACCTGGCAGGGCTAATAAGGCACAATCTTTAGGGATTTTATCAAGGAAAGTGAGTTGGAAGCTCAAGGGGCAATGGTTAGGACAGCAAAAGAAAAAAAAGGAATATAAGAAAGTATATTCAATATGGATCATTTAGAGTTGTATACAACTCTTTTGAATCCCCATACCTTTTGATGTTGAGCCATTAATGAAAATTATACCTTTAACAACAAAATGACATGCCAAATTTTGTTTCTATCCTTAAACTGGCATGCCCAAGTAGGTCTCAAAACAACTACCTGTTCAAGTGTGTGTTTGTATCTGTGTGCATGCATATGTGTGTGTGTCTGTATGCATGCTTGGGGGATATGTGGAGGGTGGTATTTATTACTGGGAAGTCACATAGGTTACTGGTAGCACATATTAATCAACTAGCAGTATCCCTCATCAGCTTTTCTATTATTTGGCCCACTTTGTGCCAATTTCCTCTCTCTTCCCCAACACCTCTTGCTTCACTGTTCTTCTTTAAGACGTGGGATGGGGATTTGTCAAAGTCAATGAGCACTTTATTACAGTGAGAGTGCTCAGTAATGAACAATTCAGCAATTTAATGAGATTCTGGAGATCTGTCTCCAGCCTGTCCATCAAGTTTCACTTCTATAAAGCACCCTGACACTAATCCTCTGGCATACCCAATCTTCACCCTGGGCTGAATATTAGATTCTTCCATGGTATATTGCGTTAGTAGTATAACCTTAGCAAAAATGATGAACTTAACTACACTGGAGGCAATATAGCTGGTCTGATTTGATCTTTCTCTATTGGGTTGACTATGAGGGAATTACTTATTTACTAAGATAAAGCAAAAACAGCTTCTTATTGCCTGCTGAATGCCTAAATTGGTAAATATTTATGTGAGTCTTTTAATTCTTTCTGGAGGTCCAGGTACAAATATACATATATATACTGCCTGCAGCAGAAACCAGTTCTTAAAATTCTACATTACAGCATTAGTAACCTTTAGAGAGGCAATTATGATAACACTTAAGTGGATAGTATAGCATTTTTGTCACTCAAAAATCTGCACATTACCATCACAATCTCTGACAGTGCCTTTCAACAGGATCTGATCATTATACCACAAAAGGGGATAGATAGAAGCCATTTCAGGGTATTGACCCCTGATCTCATTTCAATTAGAAACAACCAATTGCAGAAATCATCCCCACTTTTCTTCCCTAGGGAAACATGAGTTCCTTTGGCTGCCACATCTGAGAACTGAGTTCTTCCCTGGCCAGTCAATTTCTGATTATATTAACAATGAAGTACGATAATATGGATAATTGAAATCCAAATATATTCAAAAAAATCTCATTCTGGCCAAGAGTCCCCATTTCCTCTCTAGTAAACCTTTTCTTTTAAACCAGATTTGTTAAAAAAAAATACTAAAAGCTGCCTGATTTGGGTTTTCTCTCTTTTTATTTCCCTTGGCGAAAATGCTAACAAACAGGAAAATGGCACAAAATGAGACAGCAAGTAAAAGGATGAGGACTTGAAGAAAGAGGCAGACAAATCAATAATCTGTATTTTGGTAAGGGCCAACCAACTTTACTACAAAGAGCAGTAGATCTGACATTAGAAGACTTGAGTTTGGTTCAATTCAATTCCACAACCATTTATTAAGTGACTAGTAGGCTCAAAGGCACTGTGCTAGAAGCAATTAAAAAAACAAAAACACAACAGCCCTTGCCTTCAAATAGTTTATAATCTCTGGTAGGGGACTGAGGAAGGGAGAAGAGAGTAGAAGAATACAACATATTCATAGATAAGTAAAAACAAAGTACATGCAAAGTAGTTTCCAGAGAGAGGACACTAAGGGTGCGGGTGGGATGGGTAGTCAGGAAGGGCTTCTCCCCGACTTGCTAACTTGGATCTGAACCCGCTGTCACTTACTACCCATCTGACCATGGACAAGTCACTTAATTTCTGAGTCTCAATTTCCTCAGCTATAAGACGAGTGAGGGAGGGGGTATCTAGCTGATAACCTAAAGTGCCTTCCAACTCTAAAATCCTATGGTCCCAGGTTAATTCCCATTATAAGACCAATTTTCCTTATCTATAAAATCTATAAAAGGTGAGTAACAATGAAATCTGAACCATCCACTTCACAGGATGGTTGAGAGGAAAGCAATTCATAAGCTTAAAATGCTATGTATGTATGAGATAAAAAGTTAATTCAGCAGTTACTCAGAACTCAGAAGTCATGCTCTGTCTTGTACTCTGTTTACTTTAAATGTTTTCAAACTCTTGGGAAAAACTGAAAATTCAGCATTCTTAAAGTAAACAAAATGGCAAAATGATGGTCAGTTGTAGGAGAGAAAAAGGAGAGAGGGAGAGCAGAGAGAGATGAGAACAAAGGGGAAAAGTGAAACAGAAAAGGGTCAGGTAACAGGGAAGGACCTTAGGCAATAATAAATAATAATAATAAAGTTGGAAGCTTTAGCTTCCACAATAATATAGAATATTCACTAAAGGGTCTTTCACATTGTAGTACAAATAGTTTTCCAATGGAAATCATTCTTTTGCAATGCATAAAAGAACATTTCGGAATTTTGTATTTGAGGTCACTTTTATAAAAGCCAAAGCAATCCACTTTTCTCACATTTAAACTATTTTCATCATGAAATAATTAATAATGTTACTACCTCCTAGCATTTGAAGTCAGATATATTTGGTTACAGGAAGGCCCCAAGGAAATCTCATCTGTGACTTTAAATGTGAGTTGAGAACCCAATACCTCAAGATCAAGTCCTTTCCAATCACCTGACAAGTCAAGAGAACACTCTGTCTAAAAATTCACCTAAGATAAAAGGGTTCACACACTTTCTGGACCCCTTAGCCTTTAATCATTTACTACCTCCACAATCCCAGAATTCAAGCAAAGGGAGCATGTCAAGGTTTTCTACCACACATTCTGCTGATGAGGAAGCTTCCTTACCTGCCAGATTTGTTCTTCACTTAAGGACGTCAGCTGGTCACTCTTCAGGACCTCTTGAAGAAGGCAATAAGGAAGTGTTAGAACTTCTTCAGGGTGACTCTTCAGGAGTTCAGAGAGGTGTTTCACTAAAAAATCGATCACTGCCTTCTCCAGCAAAGTGAGATTAAAGAGGTCAGCAAGTCTGTACAGATCCAAGTAATTAAAGCTATTTAATTCCTAAGTGAATAAAGAAAAAAAAAACCTTTCAGAAATAATGCAGAACCCAACTTGAAGGTCAAAGGATATTCAGATCAAATAAACAGAGACTGTGTGACATACACTACAAAAGTCCAACTGTATATCATTTTTTTTTTGGAAACTTTCTCAATTAGAATGCTTTAGGCTAGGGTCTATGTTCTTAGATGACAATTTCTGCCATTTTGCCTACCTTAAAAATAAGAACTTCAAACACTTAGTTAAGGAGATGGAAAGTAGTTTCTACTTTAGTGATCCAATTGAAATGCTATTTGCAATTTTCTAAAAATGCTTCTTAGTAAAAAGAAATAGTGATCTTTTTACACTCACTCCCATACCCCAAGGATCCAATTTTTCTCTTACGGCTAACATGAGGGATGCAGAATCAGAAGACACACACATCAGAAGACAGACTGACACTTAGAACTTTTTTTTTTCAAAATTCCACTGTGAATGAATATGAGCCATCAAGATTTGGTGAAATTAACACATTACCCTTAAAGAAGTACAGTGTCAGGCCTTTCTTGCAAGTTTCAGAGAACTACCAGTCATCTCTCTACTAAGTTTGTGCCTAATCCATTCAAAGCAGATGAAAGTGATTCTATTTTTCAAATGGCCCAGGAACAAGAGGTTTTTCAGTTTCACTCAGTAGCCTGCTGCAGTAGCTAATCACCCTTATGGTCTGGCAGGTTTTCTTCTTGTTCAATTAAACTCTCCTGAATGTACGTGTGTGTGTACGCACATGTGCACACATGTGTATGTATGTGTGGTGTATGTTTTATCTTCTGCATGGATGGGTGATTTGCACTATGATTCCCTTTATTGTATCTGATGACAAGGCTAGGCTATACTTCCCTCATTCAAAGGGAACATGTTACAATACACCATCATAGACCACTGCTTCCCCTCTAGGTATATAATGCAAATGAGGCAGACCTACCCTAGGCACCTAGGACCATGATGATGACTACTTAGATGCTGGAAATGAGCTTAGTTTTCCAGCACCTCTGCTGAGCATTGCTTCACCCTCACGTCCACACTGGTCTACCTGATGTTCCCTAGGTGATGACACCGACATTCCATCTCCCATATCCAAGCCTTTGTAAGGCTCATGCTCTTAGAATCCACAACTCCATTCAAGGCTGAGCTGAAGGGCCACCTCTTATAAGAAGCCTTTACTGATTCCCCAACTTGTTAGTGTACTCTCCTCAGCCTCCAACCCAGTTGAAGTTTTTATATGTTTTGCATTCACTTACATATGTCCCTGTTGTTTTCTCCCAGTAGAATGTAAGCCCCTTCAAGACAGGGGCTATATAATTTATATCTTTGTATCTCCAGGTCTTTAATAAATGCTTGTTGAAGAGTCATCCCCCAATAGATACATGGTCAAAAGATAGGAACAAATAGCTCTCAAAAAGAAGGGCATCCTCTTAGCTATATGGAAGACTGTTCTAAATCACTAATAAGAGAAATGCATATCAAGACAAAGAACCGGAAATTGTGGGGATGCCTGTCAATTGGGGAATGGCTGAACAAGTTGTAGTTGATCATGATGGAATACTACTGTGCGATAAGAAATGATGAGCTCACTGGTCTTAGAAAAACATGGATAAACTTTCACAAAATAATGAAGAGCAAAATGAATAAAAAATGAAGAGAAAGATGTATATAGTAACAGCAATATTGTTTCAAGAACAATTTTGAGCAGCTAACTCGTTTTGACTATTATAAATCCCAAATTAACTACAAAGCACATATGAAGGAAGATGTTATCTTCATCCACAGAAAGAATATATAAACAGATGTACAGAATGATTTTACACACACATACACACACACACACACACACAGAGATACACACACATATTTGTGTCTAATGGTAGCCATCTCTAGGGAGAAGGGAAGAAAAAAAAAAGAAATTTACATGATAACTTTATTATATATTTAAAAGTAACAGCAAGTTGTACTTAATAAATTTTCAGTTTCATGTGCAATTGTCTTTTTTATCATACCGTTTTATACTATAAATTAAAAATAAAATAAATAAAATAAAATAAAAACCTAAGGTTTCACTTCATGCCCTGCAAATTGGCAAAGATAATAATATGCAAATAGTCAATGTTGAAGAGACTGGGAAAACTTAGATACAGACTTTCTTTTGGTGGAGTTATGAACTAATTCAGCCATTCCAGAAAACAATTTTGAATTAGACTAAAAAAAAGTGACAAAAATGTCTATACCCTTTAACTTATAGATCCTACTGGTTTACCAAAGGAGGAAAAAGATGGGAAGAAAGGTCCCAGAATCATCAAAATAGTCTTTTTATGGTAGCAAAAATCTAGAAACAAAATAGATGCCATTTGTTAGGGAATGGCTAAACAAATTGTCATATATGAATATAATGGAATATTACTGTGTCATAATATGCAGAATTCAGAGAAATATGGTAAGATTTACATGAATTGATACAGAGTTAATTAAGCAAACCCAGACAAATATTATACAAAATGACTACAATAATATGAATGCAAAGAAAAACAAACAAACCTTAACACTGTAATTTTAATGACCAAGCTCCACCCCAAAGAAGAGATGAAAAACTATCCCTCCTTCTTTTCTTGATAGAAGTGGGAGACTACAGATATGAAACATTTCATATACTGTCAGATTCATTTGGTATGAGTTAATTTGCCAAACTGCTCTTTTATTCCTTATTACAAGAAGTAGCTCACTGAGTAGAGGAGGAGAATATATTCAGAAATGAAGTGCAGTAAAAATAAAAAATATACCAATAAATTAAAGATTAATAAAAATCTAAAATTAAAAAACTTTTAAAATTTGATTGGCATTCAGGCTTTCTTTAGACCTTTCCTTTAAGGTTCTGGAAGTTCATAAACCCCTATGATCAGACTAAAACCAGATTATAACAACAGATTTCATCCTGATGGGCACCAAATATACATTTACCTAAAAGACTATTTTATGGAGAACTTGTCTCGCAGAAGACAAGTGCTCATATGGAGGTCAGATGCAGTGGTACGGGGATACTCTTAAGGCCTCTTGATTGTGAGGTACAGGAGACGCTGGCATAGGACCACTCAGCATGGCATGCCCACTTCAAAGAAAGTACTGCACTCTACGAGCAAAGCAGAATTGAAGCAGTATAAAGGAAATGTGAGGTTCACAAATCTACAGACTCTCCATCCCAAATGTTCAAATGGACTGTTTGTGCCCAATCTGTGATACAGCCTTCCAAGTTCATATTGGACTGAATAGGCCACAATCAAACATACTTTACCGTTGGTCCTCTTTGAGTATGAAAGATCAACAACAATCATTTTTCAGTCTTATTTTTTCCCACGAGGCAATGTGGTGAAGTGACTTGCCCAGGGTCACATAGCTAGTAAGTATCAAGTGTCAGAGGTCACATTTGAACTCATGTCTTCCTGAATCCAGGGCCAGTGCTCTATCCACTCCACCATCTAGCTGTCCCCTATTTTTCAGTCTTTAGAGACAAAAAATATACAGTTTTTTTTAGGGATTTTCCCCCTTCTGCAAAATTTCTCAAAGCTAATATCTATAAGTTCTGTAATGTTAGTTCCACATTTCCTAAATGCCTGAGGATTCATGCATACAATAATTAGTCTAAGTGTAAAACACATTATTCCCCATTCTAGCTATCTAGAGATCTAGAACACTACTTAAGTAGCTCTTCCAAAATTTCTGTCCCCATTCTGGCTTTAAAGTTTGTTTGAATAATGCTTGAGATATACAAATACATGTCTATGAAATATATGACTGAGAAAAATTTAAGAGTAACTATCTCTCAATCCCATCATCAAGGTCTCTTTATTATGTGGTAGCTTAGGTCCTATTTTTCTTTTAGTGAGAGATGACGCTTCTTTAGAGGAGCCAAGACAGATGGCTTCAAGAATGAACTATAAGAACCTTCTGCAGAATGTTGCTAAAAATCCCTGTTTGCCCATGCTTTCAAGCAAAAATACAATTTGGGCTAGATCGCTAAGTTTCTTCCCCACTTAACAATTCAAAGATTCTCCTGTGGTCTTATTTTGTATCAATCTGTCCAAAGATTACGGCCTCCCATTTACAGCTTTTATCAAAGGTGTGTTGAAATTCTTATCATCAGGGGTCAGATCCTCAGAGAAATATCTTAAGTAGCCTCCCAAATATAATTTCTTGGGATATGAATAGTATGCTTAAAAAAATCAGGCAGGAGAACAGCAGTTCCCATTACTTGTAGTATATATGTGGCCGAATAAAGAACCAGATCCTCTGGGTTAGTAAGTTACTCCCTATATATAAGTTGCTGCAGAACTGCCTTAACTCTTTCAGGTCTCTAGAGTACCATTAAGTACACTGGATCCTTCATCTACCCCATGGAACCCCAGAGGCTTGAGAGTGTTAGTGCTTGTCAAATGTGCAAAGCTCATACTTAGAGAGCAGCTTACTTATCTGGTGGGTCTGGCTCAACATCACATAGAAAGATGATTAGCAATAGAAGTTTAAATAATTCTACCTGCAAAGGAAGCTGGAGCTAGGGTACAGTTAGAGTTTTTTCCTAACTATTCCTGTGCTTAAAAATCTACATAAAGCTACTACCATTTAGGGACTTAGTCTTTTATATCAAAAAGTAATTGTATTAATACATCCATTGTTCTATGCTGGATGCTGTAAATTACAACTCAAATGAGAGCCCTGCTTAATAAGGCCTTATAATTTAATGCAAAGAACACAGAGAGATACATTGTAAATGACTGATTTTTTATTTTATTCTACTAGAAGTTTATATCCTGTTTGGTAGATGTGCTTGAATATAATTATATAATGCCCTTCTTCAGTTCTCAGATTTTGTTTGCTTTTTAGCTTTCTGAGGATTCTCCCAAAGCATAATCTAAAAATGCATTCTCAACTTCTTTTAAGAGCAAAGTAAATGAAGAAAAGGTACTGCATTGTAGTAAAGA